TATTCATTGCAGTTATACTGACCCTTACAATGTCTTATCAAGGATTAGTATTAAGTTTTTGAGACCTTTTACAAGTTAGAGCAGTAAGGAAGGATAACAATATATGAAAGAACGTTTTCTTTGTTACAGTGAGAGAGATGTTTTGGTGTAGATTCTAACATCATTATCAAGCGTTCTGTTCATCACTTGTATGATGGTAGTGTTAGAACCTTAACGGAAAGGTCGGTCTCACTGTCATATAGAAGTTGTTATCCATATATTGTTATCCGTCCTTAAGGTCTATTATTGTATGTGCAACTACATGTGCATAATGATTAAAATAATAGTTACATTTTGCACATTTGGTCTACTTCCCATATATTGATGGAAAGGAATAAATGAATGTATGGAAGTACAAGTGTTTCAATATTATTGTCCAAGTTTCCTCGCATGCTAGGGGTGGTGGGTTAGCCTAGTGGTTAAGGCATTCGTTCGTCAGGGAAGACCCGGGTTTGATTCCCCAAATGGACGCAATGTGTAAAGCCCATTTCTGGTGCCTGATATTGCTGGAATATTGCTAAAACAATTTCAGTCATTATATTTTAGAATCTGGTTTTACTTTTTATATGTAAAATAATGATGAGGATGAGGATTGTGATGATAATAATGATGATGATGATGATGATGGTGATGATAATGATGATGATGATGATGATGATGATGATGATGATGATGATGCCAGCAACCTTTATGAATGATTACATCATTTCATTGATGTAAAAGTTCAGCAAACCAGCAACTCATTTCTTAAGTTTGGTTAGCCTGCTTTAAGTGGACATTTCCACATCCATCTGGACCTCACTCGGCATGTACTGAGACCTTATTCAAGTTGTCTTTATGTGAGGGTTACGTTTGAAACATGTAATCTCAAGTGACTTGCCTGCTTCTGTAGTCATGCACACTAAAAGCTTCTGTTATGACTGGAGTGTAATCTGCTGACATGTCATGTTGAAGGCCGAGTGGTAACTCAACTATGTTTCTTAAGCCTGGGGCTCATGTTAACATGGTGGAGGGGTAGGGTAGCCAAGTGGTTAAATCGTTCACTCATCATGCTTCAATCTCGGGTTCTATTCCCACATGGAGACACGGTGAAGTCCAGTTTTGGCGTCTGCTGCCATGCAAGAATGTTGTTTGAGGCAGTGTAAATCCTAGATTGACATTTAGTCCCAGAAATATAGTTCCGTTATTTAAAAATATATATATATAAATTATCTACAAAACAAATCCAAATTGAGCCCAGAACAACCATGCTGAGGTGTTCTAGACTTGCTAAATCATTCTAGACTTGACTAGGTCTCCAATTTAACTTATTCTCTAAGGTCTGGGTGTAAATCCAACTCTTTCGTCTACAAATGTCAAGGACCTCTTCCATGAAACATATGGCTGCTGTTAATGAGATGAACACAAGGTAGTTTATTTGTTGCTTTTGATATTAGAAAAATAATTTCAATTATAAAGCATACTTCTATCCTCAAGATGGTAGGTTAGAAAAGTCATGATCTGGTATTTGAATGGCAAAAGATGGTAAGAAGTATTTCGCACTTCAGTTAAGCTTTAGAAAGCATCAATAAAGTCAATATCATAACAAAAACCCGAAAATAAAATCTTTATATTCAAATGTTAAAGCAATACAATTGAAGAGCCTGAAGACCATCTTGATTTCTAACACTGCATTGACATCACTGGTAAAATTGAGGTCATGAAGATGTGGGAATATAAAGTTGTATTGACAGTGAATTGTGCAACCTATTTCTCCACCAGCCCTGCCCTCATGGTGTCTTTATGTTTATTCAAGCTTGTTGAGGACGTAGGTGTCATGTACGCTGTTTTCATTGAGACTGTCAGCGTGAAAATATTTGAGCATGATCCGGTTATGCCTTCAGTGTTGATCAATACTTGTTATAAATTTTTGATGAGCTAACATTGGCCATGTGTGGGAATTCACAAGGAGATCAGGACAGTAATGAAGAATTTAATGAAGAATTCTCCTGGATAATGTCAGTCTGTGGTATTGGTATTGTAGTGTTATGATAAGACTGATCCAGGAAGATTTGGTGTTGTGATGTAACGGTAAATTGACGTGTTTGGGGAACATGTCATAACCTTTGAAGATATAACACTTCACGCTCCGTCAATCAAAGTGATGATGTAAGGGATAACAGCCGTGGAATATCTACATTACCATGGAGTATCAGAAAGTTAATGAGTTGTCACTGGACATCCGAGATATGCCCTGATCAAGGAGTTGTGGATGAGGTTAATGATCGTCGTGGGCAGACATTAAGGAGTTCAGTTTTTAGGTGGATGTCGACGTGTTTGGTGTGATTGCTTCTGTGACAACCAAGTGATGCTGATGATGGTGTGTGCTGCTGTTGATGATGGTGTATGCTGCTGCTGACGGTGTGCTGACTGACTGAGGGAATGTTTGTAGAACATGGCTTTTCCAATGTGGAGCAGCTGTAAACACTGTGTTCAGGGTAGAGATCTTATTAATATTTTACTTCAGATTTAGATCTTTACCACAAACCAAGTCCCCTTTCATGTGATTTTACTGTCAGTGCAGCATGTTATTGATATGAGTATTTCAATATGTTAGATCCTGAAACATCTGTTGTTGCTAGTTGCTCCTTGCTCTCTCCTCAAAGAACACAGGACGTCTGAATTGAGCAGACACATTTTATGTTTGCTGATTTTTTTTACCTGGTATTGCTTCACATAGACTTGACATTTATTGGATATCAACTTTATATGACTGGATCATTGACTTGATGTTGACAGGATTGACTGGGACATTCATAGGAAATTGACTTATGCATTGACCAGCCACAGACAGGGCCATTGACTTGACAGGGCCACTGACTTGACATTCACTCGGACATTGACAGGACACAGACAGGGCCATTGACTTGACAGGGCCACTGACTTGACATTCACTCAGACATTGACAGGACACAGACAGGGCCACTCACTTGACATTCACTCAGACATTGACAGGACACAGACAGGGCCATTGACTTGACATTCACTCGGACATTGACAGGGCACAGACAGGGCCATTGACTTGACATTCACTCGACATTGACAGGACACTGACTGACATTCACTCGGACATTGACAGGACACAGACAGGGCCACTGACTTGACATTCACTCGGACATTGACAGGACACAGACAGGGCCACTGACTTGACATTCACTCGGACATTGACAGGACACAGACAGGGCCACTGACTTGACATTCACTCGGACATTGACAGGACACAGACAGGGCCACTTGACATTCACTCGGACATTGACAGGACACAGACAGGGCCATTGACTTCATCATTCACTGGACATTGACCGGACATTGACATCGGACACACAGGGCCATTGACTTGACATTCTCTTGACGGACATTGACAGGACACAGACAGGGCCACTGACTTGACATTCACTCGGACATTGATCGGACACAGACAGGGCCATTGACTTCATATTCACTCGGACATTGACAGGACACAGACAGGGCCATTGACTTCATATTCACTCGGACATTGACAGGACACAGACAGGGCCATTGACAGGACAGGGACTAACATTGACTTTACTGGACATTGATGGACACAGGACACAGGGCCATTGACTTCATATTCACTTTGATCATATTCACTGGACATTGACAGGACATTGACAGGACACAGACAGGGCCATTGACTTGACAGTGCCACTAACTTGACATTCACTCGGACATTGATCGGACACAGACAGGGCCATTGACTTCATATTCACTCGGACATTGATCGGACACAGACAGGGCCATTGACTTCATATTCACTCGGACATTGATCGGACACAGACAGGGCCATTGACTTCATATTCACTCGGACATTGACAGGACACAAACAGGGCCATTGACTTCATATTCAGACAGGGCCATTGACTCCATATTCACACGAACATTGATCGGACACAGACAGGGCCATTGACTCCATATTCACTCGAACATTGATCGGACACAGACAGGGCTATTCTCATCAGTATCTCATCACACTCCAGTCAGTATGGTGGTTATGATGTCCATCTGTGATCTGTTTGTCCAAGTCCAAGGGTAAAATGACTTTTGTTCTTCCCTTACTGCTGTATCTTAATTCTAATTGTGAATGACAGACATTTGACTTGCATAAAAGGCTTTATTTTGTATGTGGTGTATTTATTATCCAAAGTTTGGGGATTTTTTTTATGATACCTAGTAATCTATTATCCTGTTATTGGTTAAGAGTGAGTGAATACACAGCTTGAGTACTTTTTCAGTAATATCAAGGGAGGTAACACCAGAAATGGGCTTCAAATGTTGTATTAATATGGATTAGTTATGAAGCTTTTGAGATGACCCCTAGGTCAAGTTGCTAGGTAAAAATGTCCATGTGCTTCATTTGGGAAATCACAGGAAATGTAATTAACAGTCTAGTTTGAATAAAGGTTAGTGACTTAAATGCTCCTTTTTGAAACACTGCAGTCCGAGTAACTGAGTGCTGTAGGTTTTGATACGGCCCCTCAAAGGTGCACTGATGACTGTGATAGCCTTGGGCTGACTCCAATGGTAGGGTCAGTTGTTTACAGGGTACGCACATTGCCAGCTCAGTTGACGACTGTCATGCAGTAATCACAGGAGATCACGATACAGTCACCTTCTGATCTACACTGCAGGCTTAGCCGTGAAAACCTGTATCACATGCTGTGACTTATCATTACAGCACAGACACTGTTGGACAACATTAGGACACTGTTTATTGGACTTTCACATCATTTATGACTTTTTGAAAATTGTGGGATGTTGTTTGCTGAAAAAAATTAAAAGCAACATGAAAGCTGACTGACAGATATGTGCGTTTTGACTCGTAACTTTTGCCATCATAATGGCAAGTATATTAATGTTTGGTGGAAACAATTTTCGTCACAACCTTTCCACCTATCTTCTAGAGCGTCGCCGCTTTACCCATGAAGGAGAGGCATTGCAGAGTCAGTTTGCTGGTTTACGGAGAGAAACCATGGTCATTGCAAAGGACCCCACAACACAGGTACGTGCCTTTAGAAAATTTCACATGAAAACATACGTGTCGACAGTTTGATATGTTCAAGTTGTGTTTTTGTGAGGTTAAAATCTAGTCTAAAAACTGATGAAGCTTGCCTTGATAAGTGTTGTTTTTAATCATACATATAAAATGATAAATGTCTTGTGTGTGTGTTTTTTACGTGAACTTACTTTAAGACTTTTATGCGGTCAGTGGGTAGAAGGGGTAGAAAGTAGCATAATTGTTGCTTCTTTATGATTTTCTGCTGTAGTATTTACAAGTGGAAGGATTACTTACCAAACAATATATGATAAATGTCTTGCATTTTTCTCCATGAAGTTTTATACGTCTTTGCAGTAGATGAGTAAAAAGGGGTAGAAAGTGACATAATTGTTGCATCTTTGAGATTTTCTACAATAGTATTTTGTAAACTCCCCTTAGGACAGGGTTATTTTTATCTTTCCTTGATACACAGAATTGATCCCAATGTCAAGTGTGTACTTAAATAGACTGACATGTATGATAAGCACTTTGAAAAGTTGAGTGGTAGTTTTGAAACTTGTGCCAAGTACCCCTTGACTTCAGTTGATTATTTCCAGAGTTGCCTTTGGATATGTTGAAACGTCTTTCAGCATTTATTCGCTTTTATTCACACTATATCAGATTCAAAGGTGTATATGTTATGTGAATTTTGTGCAAATTCCAACAATATGAAATATTAACTGAGAGTCTTGCAGAAGTAACTGTGTTCATGCATACTTGTTGATATATTGGAAAACAACAATAATACTGACTGTTAATTCAACAAACCTCATTACAAACTCTTTTCCTTCATTAAAGGTTGATGAAAATTGCCTGACTTTTCACTTTATTTAAAGAAAACTAAATTAACAACTCAGAGTTTGAATTATATTACTTTATGAAGGTACTGAGAGACTTAATCTCTAACAAAAACATACATTCAAGTCATATGCAAATACATTTTAACAATATTTTGTATTTATGTTAAATCTATGCATATAAAATATGTATATGGTTTGTACATAACAGTTGCTATGTAACTATTCCACCTTAAAACCTCAAACTGGAAACAACAGTCGAGGGGAAAATGTTCAGTTCAGTATTAAATGTCTCAGTCCGCTAAATAAGAAAATGTTCAAAATTTTAGTTTTTATGTCGAACTCGGCAAGTGGAAGTGGACTTTGTCTTTGATATATATTTTTTTAATGACTACATGTGTCTTCCTTCTCAGGGTATTTCCTTCATTAACGATGACGATGAGACGAATATCGATGATGATGAAGAATTCTGCCCAGCATTTTTCTCCACACACAATAAATCTCAATGGGATCTGGTAAGTATGACTCCTGTGGAGGCTGTAGGTAGTGTGAAGGATGATAGAACAACAAATACCATCCAGTAAGCTTGTCGATAAGGTTACCCCTTTTTCAGCAACTGATTGTGGTGGAGGGCTATGTAGCTTCCTCAAGTGCAATCCATTGTCCCCTGTTTGAGATTGTAAATCTCAAAATTAAATATATCTCAAAATTAAATTGAGAGTGAAATTTATGTGACATGTGAGATTAGTCTTTCCTCACACTAATTAAACTTGCATCAATGTCTCAAACATTGACTGGTGACATGAGGGCTTATCTTCTCGGGATTGCTGAAACCCACTGTCCTTCACTCACTGTTCTTGCTATTTATCCAGCTGGATTGAGCTACAGAAAATGATTATTTATTTATTGAAAAACTTCAAAATTCTTATGTCCTGTTTCATGATCCTTGACATCTCCATTGATATCTCCTTCAATGATTATTTTGGATCAGATGATAGCGCTGACCAGAATGAATCTATCCCATTTTTACTTTGATATTATGTTATGATATTACCCAGGGCTATAACATGAATATCCATATACAGTAGAGAAGCTATGATCATACACGTGTGTCAGTCATGATGATAGAGACGTCTGCTGTGTCTAGACGGTCGTATATTGTTATTTATCATATGTTTGATGGCGGTTTTGTCTCCTGGCTTGTTGCAAACATACTGAGAGGTAGGAATATCCTTGTTGCACAGTATCTCTGTCTGTGTCTTGTTTGTGAGATTACCGGCTTGAGTCTTGGCTGTTACTGTAAGTTTTAAATCTGGGTGGATAAACAGATGTGGGAATGGTATTAGGGTATTATCAGGTATTGATTCCAAGTAAAGCATAAAGTCCTCCTTTTTTTGGCTGTAACACTCTCTTGTGTTCAGAGAACAGTTTGTGAATGGGGTCAGAAGGATTTGCAATCAAACTATTTGAAAAGTATTGCAGACTTTTGGTGCAGCAGTTATATGTGAAACTTCACTGTGATTTTCTGACAGCATATATCTGTGTTACCTTTAAATCATTTTAATTATTTCTTCCATTTGTCTTTGATTATTTAGCACATGCATGAATCTGTTCAGTGAGTTTCAGGTATGACTGCTCTGAGATAACAGGATAACAGTGACTAAGATAAACAAAAAGTTGTTACAACTAGAAATCTTGTTTCAATATGTAATCTTACACATGCAAAACTGACATGGTTCATAGATTTATTAGATTCACTTATGGTATTCACCGAAGGTCATTGATCTGACCTTGACCAATGGTTTGTCAGTCCTGGTGAAAATACATGACCAGCACTGAGATGCTTATTGCTTCAGTCTACAAGTTAGCCATTTGCAGAAGCCAGAATCTAGTACGATTTATTTCATTAAAGTTAACTAAGACTGCTCCACATCTTAAGACTGTTTTTGCTGAACAAGTAGCTGGACATGAAGTTAGGTTGATAGAGCCTCTTACTGCCACTGACTGTGAATTTACTCCACTTATCTGTCCCTCAGCCTGACAGTCGCCCATCATCGCGGAACTCCGACCCAGGAGGAGGTAACACCAGCGGCAGCAAGTGGGGCAGCAGGTTCAGCCTTAACCTTGAACGCAACCTCAGCATCGACTTTGACGACACTGACGAACATGATACAGGGTCGGAAACACCCGAGGTCATCTACTACCCACCCAGCGAGGTCGACTCTTCGGAAACCTATCCAGAGTAAGATTCGTCAATCAGGGTGCTCACAAAATGATATATGTTCAATTCAGATACAGTTCATATGTGTAGAGTTGTGTCCCTTACCTGGCCAGGATCAGCTTGATTTAGGTAGAATCTTTTTAATGTGTGAGGGACATGGTTTGCAGGCAACAAACTAACTCATGGAGTTCATTTGATAGGCAAAATGATTTCTGTTGCGGAGAGCTTTCATCCTCCATACATTGTGATTTAACGGAAATGTTTCTTCGTAATTGTAATCAGCATAACTCAGTCACCAGAAATGGGCTTCAAACATTGTACCCATGTGGGGAATCAAATTCCACTTCAGTGAGATGCTACAGTACAGTTTCCAGTGTTAAGAAAGGGTTTTGCTTGTTAAATTGTAGTATGGAATGATGTGGGGTTTTTTTTGTGTCCGTCCCATGAATGGATCTTCTGTGTTGCAGTTCGTACCAGGTTTTCAACAGTGATCTGCCCCTGAGTCGACAGAAGCACCTCTCCAAGAGGTTCGGCATGCTGGAGACCAACATTGATGAAGGTAAGATTGGGTGAGAGAAGATGTCTCCAGTTTCAGGGCCTAACCTTTGTTTGTTTCAAATTATCCTGACTGTTCCATGCCAGTGATATGCGGCATCTGCAGACATCCTAACAAATTCCTAACAAGTAATTCTTTGAATGATGTTCAGCGTCACTCTGTCTGAATCTTTCAGCTGACTCTGAGAGCACGGATCCCATTTCCCTGGAAGATGATGAGAATGATGACACATTGCTGATGTCCAATCCCAGTACACCATCAGATCCCGACCGGGACTTCCTGGCCCGCACCCCAGACAAGGTATTGTACCAAGATGGTTTCACATCGATTCATTGTCCAGAGAAATCTGAGTTAGAATATTGATCTTTAGTAAACCATGCTTGTTGTAAGTGGCGACTAATGGGATCGGGTGGTCAGGCTCGCTGACTTGGTTGACACATGTCATCGGTTCCCAATTGCGTAGATCAATGCTCATGCTGTTGATCACTGGATTGTCTGGTCCAAACTCAATTATTTACAGACCGCCGGAATATAGCTGGAATATTGCTGCGTGTGGCATTAAACTAAACTCACTCACTCACTCCTCCAGAAAAAAAATTTAGAATCTTTTTCAAATATAATGATTATATAGAAGAATGCCAACTAGCAGAAGTTCAAAAATGGTGAAAAAACTTCTTCTCTCTTGAAAAGTGACTGCAGCAGTGTAAGGAGTACCTGGGTATATCTGTAGGATTTGATCTAAATACGTTCCTTGTAACAAGCGCCATGACTTTGACACCTTGACTCCATAATTATGAACACTATACAGTAGATACACATCCAAACTGAATTTGAGATTAAGAAATAGAGAAATGAAATATATTAATTTTAGAGTTGAGTTCCTGAAATCCATTCTTACCATTTTAGATTTATGATTGATGAGAAATGTATGACCATATTTGAATACACCAGACTACTGAAGGTGTGACAACGGAAGATCTGTGGCAAGCTCTTATTTAGGTAATATAACACAATATTCCATCATTCCAGGAGAAATTTGTCCATGAGAATTTTGAAACCATCAACTTCACACCAGTGGCGACTGACAAGTTCACCAAGGCGCTGGACTCCATAGAGCAGGACCTGAACAAAGATGGTCCACTCCCATTCAGCCCCCGCCTCAGCATCTCGTCCAGGTTCCTCTCCAGGGCCCAGCAGTCCAACATCAAGTGAGTAAGGGGCAGGGGCATAGCCTAGTGTATAAAGTGTTCATTCATTGTGTCAAAGACATGAGTTTGATTCCCCACATGAGCACAATGTCCCCCACTGTGATATTACTGGAATATTGCTACAAGCTGTGTAATCCACCCTGGAGTTCCCAACGTAGGTCTTAATATGGAAAATTATCCCTACTGTTACGACATGTGTGAGAGTAAAGTCTTACCGTATGTGTCTTCTCATAGTAAATGCTACATAAAGTCAGTGATTTGCCCTAAAAGGCCCTATATTTAGCAAAACTTGTTGTGATTTACAGGAAACTAATACATGAAACAATACCTTGCAATGAAAGTGGATGTTAGTTAAGCTTCATCCCGAAGCATAAGTTCCCCAGTGCATCGATGAAGCTAAGTGTTATTTCCCTCTGATGTTCGGTCCCACATTTGACCAACCTTGTGTGTTTTCAACGACTTGTGTATTATATGTTTCTTTATAGGTCCTTAAAATTGTTGATTGGGCCTTGAAAAGCCCCTAAAATGGCCTTAAATTTGATGGATGATAATCTGCAAGAACCCTGGTGACTTTCTACGCCATTTTACATCAACCCTGTAATCAAGAAGTGGTTACCCATCAATAGTTTCTTGCATTGTGTCATTAAGCAGGATCTGACCTAATTATAGAATTGTAGGGAGATCCACTGATTGGCTTGTCTATTAGCTTGCATGGTGATTGAGGCTCAGTTGTTACATATCAGAGTCAGGTCACCAGTGACCACAGATCACTGTCAACAGAGCTGGGCAGTCCTTACTGGACACTGGTCTCCATTTTCCCTCATCATGAAGATCACACTAAAAACCACCATTGTATTTTCCAGGAACATGTCTGTGTACAGCAGTATACAACGCCAGGATAACTGGTTTGATGTGAGTCAAGTTACTATTTTTGTGGGTCAGACATTAAATACTTAGAGAAGCATAAAGTATTTAAGCTGAAGTGAAAATATGAGGTTAACACTATCAGCTAGGTATTGTTTGCATGTCTGTCTCAAAATTATTTCTGTTCTTGTTGATGTTAATTTGTTATTATCATGTCACTGTTATGAAACACACTGTTTACTTTTCTAACATCGATCTGATTAATGTCACAGCTGAGTTGATTACACAAGTTTGTTTCCACTTGAGACTAACGATTTCAACATTATGCATGTAATATATATGTTATGTCATAGCAGATATAGCTTTGGGAAATACATTTTGATTCAAAATTTCACAAAAGTTTTTTTATTTTCTTTCATCGCATTTTGATTTAAACTTTAGGTAATTTAATCGTAGATAATTTTCATGATTTTACATTACAACCATTTAAAATCATAAGAGGAGGATAAGAAATTTACAGAGTTACAATTTGGTAAAACGTTACACAGGGTTATGTCAGCAAACTATGACACATCCCAAGGACCAATCTCTCTGTATATACATAAATATGTTACTTACCATGTTAGATGTACTAGAGGAGTTATAACATATTACATATGTATTGTGGATTGCATGTGTTCAACAGTTCTCTCCCTTGACCAAGAGTTGTCCAGATCTGTCTCTCCTTGTAAGTCTAACGGAATACGCTAGCCAGATGATTGGATAGGCCACATCACGTCTCAAAACATCTCCTGACATGTTTTCAATATGGAACATCTAAAAAATGTAGAGAATGTCTCAAAAATATTCTCAATTGACATGGCTTAATACAATTCATAGTATCTGGAATGGTTAACAAGTTGTCTTTTCCCAACTGAAAAGGCATTGTTTTAGTTCATTATTGTTTGGAGAGAAAATTGAAGTTTGGCGGGTACTCAAACTATTATAGGTAAAAGATAATCAAACAGATGTATTTAAAAATTCCTCCTTTTTATCAATAAATGAAAGAATGAGACCCTGGAAATCATTCATTTGAGTACATGTCTCAGACAGTCATGTTCCTGTGTTTGGTATTTCAGGAAATGGTTGAAGTTTGAGTGTTTTGAGACTGTATTTGTGGCTCAGTTTGAAGTGTAGATTTTCAGATCCACTTCTCGTTCCCCCTCTCTGCTCCTCCTTTCTACATGCCTGTGGCTACGTCTGCTGCCGTCTGCCCATTTGGTGGGATGTCTTTCATTTCACGTTTGACTGCACCTTTGCCCTTTTTGTTTCCACCTGGTTTCTAGCCCCTCCAAAAGAGTAAAACGGAAATGGCACGGGCTGTAGATGACACCCGAAAACGCCTCCTTGCTGTAAGTAGACGCCCTCTGGTGGCAGTGGGACGCAACAAATGACACATTCTCGTCCTATTTATGTTGTAGATGTCATTATTTTACTTTTCCCTGTTTTTGATATCCTAACAGTGTTCATTGGATTTGACTGAATTAATTTCCATGCATCTTTTTTTTTTCAAATGATTTATTGTGTGTCTATTTATATATTACGTGTAATTATCTTATGTTGCGTTTTGTTTTTCATTCTTTCTTAAAATATGTAATTATAATGTCCTGAATGTAAAATATTTCAGATTTAAAGTCTGTTGTGCTTAATGCTACAATGCTTTCATAATAAGTAAGATGCCTTACCAATTTGGAGTGTTTTTGTTGCCATGACATTACTAATGCTTTTTGTTGACAATTGAGTTTGTTGTATGTGTCTCATTTTCCATTCATCAGTCGCAGTTGATATCTGAAAATTATATATGCAACACAGGGTTCACTCTAGACATCCAGCTTCATGGATCTAGTTGGTTTGAAAGGGGTCCTGATCACCAATAAGACAGTATATTCACGATTGTCATATTAGGGGCAAACATTGGTTGCTGGAAGATTTACCTTCAGCCAATCATCAGAATCCCTTCAGAGTTGCTTCCCTTGCTGTTTACAGAGGATCCAAAGAGTTGTGATATATACGCGTCAGTGTCATCTTCATGAGACACAGCTGATATTTCAAATTCAATGAAACAGCTTTTCCCATTACATTTTGATGGTAGGATGTTGAAGTAGATATTTAGGCCCCCAAGATTATAATGTGTTAACAAGCAGTTTTAACTTTACACAAGTTAGAAACATCTCCAGTGGGCCCCATTCCACAAATTGATCATAAAGCTATAGGGATCGTCACACCCATACTTTAATGTAGACTTACGACAGTTATAGTGGAACTGGGCCTCATTTTGGTGTGGACCACCTCCGTGATGTAGTGGTTAGAGCGGAAGGTCACGGGTTCGATCCCCGACCGGGTCATACCAAAAATATGACGTTGAAATATGGTACTTGTTGGTCCCTGCCTGGCACTCGGCATTAATGGGTACAACAAGGACTGGACGGCTCAGAGTCAGTATAATGTGTCTGAGTGGGGTATTCATGCTTCACTGCGGCATGGTATCTCAGTGGGCTAGCACTATAAAACCAGCTGAAGTCTGGGCTAGTACAAGCAGCCGCACATACACATACACACGCATGCACATCGTTATATGAGCGAAATATTCTCAAGCACGACGTTAAACCCAATTTCACCTCACCTCACCTCATTTTGGTGTATCTCTCATAGGCTATATTATCAACGTTCCTTATGACCCTGAATGATTTGTGTGTGTTTACAGATGGGCTGGAATTCTAACAATGGCGAATCCCCCGAGAAAGAGCCTCCATCTCCCCCTTCACCTCCCACCAAGCTGGAGAGCACAGTGAGTGTAGCAGGAGTAGTGGCAGTGGGAATATGTCAAACTGTGCTGTTGTCATTGTTTGATGACATTGTTAGAATATACACAGAAATGTTGCGACATCTGTAACAAAGATTATACACCATAACAAGGTTGATCATATACCATCTTGTCTTTAAGTTGGTGGTAACCCATTGTGTATCTTTTTCTCCAATGTATGTTCTAATGATACACTGACTTCCCATGACCAGAAATTATTATTTTACAGTGAAATATCACTGACTGCATCATAAAATAGCATCCACTCACTGACACAGTGAAAATATTGTTTGAAAGAAATAAGGATCACATATCCATCTATATTGTTTTTCAGAAGCCTCACTTCCCAATGAACGAAGATTCCAAACTGTCCATTCCAAAACTACCGCCAAGTAAGTAAGAGTATATGCGTACTGATGGCTTGGTTTCTGCTCTTATGATATTATCCATTTATTCTGTATGCATATTTATCCAATTCATAGTCATTCCATATTATTCCGATTATTTAAGAATGGCGTACAATGTGCTAGTTTCTTATGAGTATGCATATATATTTCAGTGTAATAAGTAATTCACATGTAAGACCTATATAGCTACTGTCTTGATTTAAAATGGATTTTGTAGCCTCATTTCTAAGTTCTGACACAAATCTCACAACGGAACATATTTAAAGGCATCTTTCTATCAGTAATTATTACTTGTCATCGATCCTGTTGTTTCTGATTGTATGTTGCCGTCAGCCCAAGGCAAGGGAGGTAACTGACTACACAAGTAGTTTCCACACTAGGCAGGAATTAGTGGGCTCGATTGTAGAGCAACCAGTGGCAAGAAATGTCACCACAACCACCACGTGCATATAATTGTAGCAAGTGTATTTGTACTATAGGCCTTTAGGCCCGAAATACTGAGTAAAAATGAATCTGAATCTGAATCTGAATCAACCAGTGGCTGTAATTACTTATGTCCGTTCGAGGTCCCTTCGATATATTTTTATCGTAATGAAACAGACTTTGCTCTTTGTCTCAACTGCATTAGCTCTTGAGCACCTTGATCACAAACATGAAAAGTTTTGTAAACACTCAGTTTACAGTGCATTGGCTTTGCAAATCTGGCTATCCACCATAATCTGGTTGGCAGTGTAAAAACTGGCTGTTTATTTCATTTAGTGGTTTTGACTATTGTTATTTTTTCTTATCCTGTCTCATGATCTTATCTAGCTTATCACAAATTATGACACAAATACTTTTCACAAAATCTTTACATATAATACATAGTAGTTATTGCCAAATCCATACACTGCATAATTTGAAGAATAGGACATAAATAAAAAGGATATAATGCTGTATACGGGACTTTAGTGCTCGCCAAACCATCCACTCGGGCGAAAAGGGAGAGAGTGACAAGTAAGGCTGGTCACATGACTGTTTATGCAGGAAAAGTGAGGTTACTCGTAGGTGAGTGTATTTTAACGTCCGCTTCAGGAACTTCAAGGGATTCAAGTGTTCAACTACCATTCGCAAGGAAATGGGAGATAAGCAAAAGATCATGAGTCAGGATCAGTATAAATATATCAATTTTACTTGAAAAATTACATTTTTTTTTATCTATGCATCGACTTGTTAAACAGCTAAAAACAACTAAAAATTCTAGCCTAGGTCATATAAGCCAAAACAGTGTATTAACAAGCTTATACCGAAATCATACCATCATAATATTTGATGTGACCGCCATGTTTTGCTGCATCGCAAGGGGAGGGAACTCTTGTCCCACTTATAGGTGTGTGCAGAATCATTTTGTTTGTAGTACCTAAACAACCAGCTGTAATATGTAACTTTCTCTTGAGAGATAGTTCCAGTTTCAATTTAGTTTATTCTGTTTTTATGTATGTAATAATGATAGTGTTATGTTCAAATACAGTCATTTAAGTTTTACTGGCATAGTGGGGTAGCCTTGTGGTTAGTGTGTAGAATCACAAAAATCTGAATCTGATTCTCATTCGTCCTGACACACACCTGGACAAAATGTAAATGTAATTTTGTCGCAAGAACATTATATTTGTCATGTTGTGTATGTATCAGAAAGCGATGACTTAATTTCCTCTCCCTTTTCCTTCCTCAAGGCCCTTGTGGTTCGCCATCCCCTAAAACTCTGCGACGCTTTTGGTATACTCTTGACTTACCTAAGCAGCCAATCATCGAAGAACCAATGCCACTACCAAAAATTCCATTACCCCCCAAAATACAGAATAGGTTGGCATCCATTCCTATATCTGAACAAAATGGCTGCTCACGATTGCCGAGTTTGATAACCTACAGCCCCAAACAAGTTAGAAAGACTCGTCTTTCACCGATATCCAGGAGGGGTAAATAGTCCGCCAGTTTCTGCATGATGTGTGGACGGATTGTGTATTGTGATTTTGTTCCGACCCCCTGGCTTACATGGCATCTATGTTCTAACTGGTGCTAGAACACTGTCACGCTCTGGATATCTCTCTGAATCGATGGCTACTAATAGTGATAACCGATGAAATTGGAAGTTGTATTTTTGTATACTCATTTGTGTATCATTAACTTTTGTAAGATATTTGTTGAAAAATCAGAACTTGTTTATCATTATTATAACCTGTGAAGAACGTGTATTAACATTTTTTGCACAAACACAACAACTGTTTGCTCACCTGACTGAAAGTCAAGTGAGAATATGTCATGGAGTGTCGTCCATCTCCTATGAACTTCCAATGGAACTGAAGTTAGACTGATGCTATCTATGGTTTCTGTGAAAAGTGCTGACCGAATGTTGATCCAAGTTTAAGCATGGAAGTCACAGTAGCCATATTGAAAATGTCACTCAAAATATTACTCAGCTAATTCTGCATGTAAGAGTATGATAGATATGTGTGGTATGTAGAATATCATGTGATACGATATATACAATCCAGATATTGGTCCTTGCCATTGTGTCCCCAAAAGACTCACACAGAAATCCAATCTGACTTTAAACATGGCTGCCCTTGTTTTTCCCCCAAAGACATTTGAGCTACAGAGTCTTATGCTTCTATTTTTACTGAACCTGAATTTTGTGTTTCCTGAAATGAAATGAGTGTTCTAAAAATGATGTGGAGTTTCTGTATTTTAATACAACACTGATTACATTGTACCTTGTCTCCATGTGAACTGTACTGAACATTCTAACTTGCTGTGCCAGAGATTTGCTATTTCACATAGAACCAAGTCTTTCCACTATCTTTTTGTTTTTATGAGTTTAGGCTGAAGAAAGGGTTTGTTTCATGGCATGATTGAGGATTTTGCTCATCTCTTCACATGAAATAAGCTTTCTGTTTAACCCAAACTTTCATTTTGGGGTCAGATGCATGGGTTTTATATTTTTGTTTGTGTGAAATGTAAGGAAGAATTAGATGCATTGTTGCAACTCCAAGATAAGCTATTACTTGTTTATAGGAATATAGTATCATATTGCAATATGCGTTCCTTTGAATTGATATTTGATGAAAAGTAGAGTTGAGTATATGTGTCAGTTGACTAACGATGTTCGGGTCAAGTGTAGATGATAGAGACTAACCTTGAGTTACTTTGTTTAACAGATACTGCATGTTATGATTCAACTGTTTCCTATAGAATTAATTATTCAACAAGTTGTAATTGTTGAGAAGAAGCTAATTTTGTTTCGAATTAATATTCTGGAATTTATCAACCCATTACATTTTAGTGAAATCAATAATTGTTTGAAAGCCTAAGATAATTTGATTTGATGAGAATGAACATTATAATCATCAGTCAGCATGCTTTATATGATTTATATCTATGAGTTATAATTATATGAGAAATGTAGTTTATATTTTTCATGTTGGCCAGTTTTATTCAGGGCAGGATGTTTGCTCTTAATTAATATAGTTGTCTGTCTTCCTTGTGTAATCTGTAATCCAATTCTGACTCTCTTCAGCTGGCAGCCCTTGGGAGAACCAAGGTCCCGGTTCACCTGTTAACGACATTCCAAAGACTCAGTCTCCCAACAGGCTGTCTTCTCGGCTGGGAAGCCTCAGTCCAAAACCAAAGGACACTGGAAAGAGATCCCCTCTCTCTCAGGTCCAGTTCAACTGGTAAACTCACAGACCTTGACACCAAGACCAATAAATCATCATCTAAAACTGCATCTTATCTCCGACCAACCCGCAGTTCCAAGGCAAAAATTGCGCGAGCATCTTCATCTTCATCCCTGCCTGATGATGGCTCTCAATCCAGCACTAACTCCATGACCAAAGCAACTTCAATGCTGAACCTGAGTCAGGCCCGAGATCCACCTACCTCACCTAAGAAGAAGTCTTCACGTACCTTGTCGAAGACCGCTTTCTATGCTTCCACTCCCAATTTGGCTGTATGTTTGGAGGAAGAGGAGGAAGATGAGATTCCAGAGTCAGCGTCCAATCTTAAAGGTCTTGCTGATCTGTCAAGAAGTGTTCCAGACATTAACGATATGGACGGTTTTAGTTCATCTACTGAGAGCACTACAAGTAGTGGTGAAAAGCGTAATTCTAAGGGCAGTTTGTCAGGAGTGAGGAGACTTAAAGATTCCTTATCTCGGAAAGTTGCAAGTGATACAAGTCGAATGAACAGACGTTCAATGCCTGTGGGTGTGGACTATCTGCATGTGGAGCAGAAGTCCCCCGGGCACCAAACGGAGGTCCGTTTCTCCTTTCAGTGACAAAAACACTATGCCTCCTCCTCCATCCACCGCTGTTAGCAGATCAAAACATGATGCATTCCTGAAGCGAGCTCAGGCTAAGAGACGCACAACAGCCGACATGACACTAGATCGTGCGAAGGACATCCTGTTGGGCAAGTCTGGAATTCTTAAGAGCAGTATGGAAAGTGTGAACTCTGATGGACCTGGCAGCAGGAAGACAAGTCTCTCTGGTGGACAATCACAGTCTCACTCTAGGTCTTCCTCTGCATCATCTAATGTGTTCGAGTCTGAGTATGGTTACACATCTGCTTCAACTCTTGCTACTGTAGAAGATATAGAAAATACTGCTGAGGAGATTCGCAGAAAGGGCTGCAGATGCAAGTCCAAATGATCTGCCTGAACGGGATCAGAACACATCTCTACCTAGTAGAACAAAATCACCTATGTCATCTTCATCTCGAAGGTCATCCAATGCAGATGGCGCTAGAGTCTCACCTCGTGTGCTCTCTGACAAGAAAAAGTCTCAGTCGGTTGAGAATCTAAATGATACTCCTTCAAAGGAACAAGACAGTGTGTTGCCCAGTGTAAGGGCGAGGGTGGCCCAGTACATGTCTCTAAACAAGTCTACTGAGGATCTAGGTTCCAGTCCGAGACCGAAAGCCTCACTGAATGTAAATGTGAATACATATCCCTCCCATTCTCCCGCCCCATCTCCAGTTCCAATGGGCAGAAGTCCTTCAGCAGATCTCAAGGTCAGCCCACGCAGCCAGTCTGATACAGGGCTGGGTTCAGACACTGACACCGACTCAGAGATCAGACGTCCTGATAAATCCACATCCCATCCAAGGCTGTCTCTTGTCAACGGAGATCCAAGCATCACCCATAGGTATTGTTGTTGCTGTTGTTGTTTTATATAGCTATTGTTGTTGTTTTTTGTTCCATTCAGCTGTATTAACCATGACGGTGGGCAAAATATATTGAATCTCAATCAAACAGTCAACAAATCCATGTTGTTTGCGACGATCCACATTACATACACCGCATCACCAAGCCTATTCAAACCATTTAGTTACCTCATGTTAGAAGTAATAAGTTTTGTGGATAACAGCATATCTGGGATCTGTTTGATAAAGCGGTTGTAGCGCCCATACTTTATAGGCATGCAACTGTTCTCGTGCTAGGATCACTCTGTGGAACGGAGGGAGGTGGGGTAGACTAGTGGTTAAAACATGGTTTGTCACACTGAAGGCCAGGGTCGATTCCCCACATGGGTACAATGTGTGAAGCACATGTCTGGTGTCCCTCGCCAGGATATTGCAGGAATATTGCTATAAACGCCATAAAACTAAACTCACTCACTCACTCATTGAAGTGAAAAGAGGTAAAGTAGGGGGTGGGTATTATAGTCAGAGGAACCAAGTCAGCTCTCAAAGCTACTGCAGGGAGTAGACAATCTTCCATAGCCCCTAACCTCTATTCTAAGGAGAGATTTCAAAGTAAAAGAATCAAGAAGCTAAACATATCTAGTGCCTCAGAAGTAGTCCTTTGAAAGAAATAGCCCTCAAAACTGTCTGTTGATTGGCTCGCAAAGCCACTGGCTTCAATAACTTCAAATAATTACATGCCCTGTGCTACTTCTGCTTCCTGCCACAGGAAGACAGTGCAGTGAGTTGTGCCAAATACTATGAAGAGAAATTTTCGTTACATCACAATGTATGGAGGATGAAAGCTATCCTTAACAGAAATCAGTTTGCCTATTAAATGAACTCCATGAGTTAGTTTGTTGCCTCCAAACCATGTCCCTCACACATTCTTAAGGATTTAACCTAAACAAAGCTGATCCTGGCCAGCTAAGGGAGACAACTCTATACGCATGAACTGTATCTGAATTCTGGGTAGGTTTCGGAAGAAACTTAAACCGTTGTACAACCATACTCACTCACTCACTCACTGTGGAACGGGACTGACAACTTTCTCTGTGGATAACTACATGTGACATAATGTGTAAATATACTTAAGTTTTGCATGATGTGCCATGATCTGAAGTCGATGTTTGCTCTGCTTTTCCAGTGTGTCATTGACAACACCTGTATCATCTCCTCACGATCATGGAACCTCACCGACTGTGGCCGATCGTTCTGGATTGTCGTTGTCACTCACTGTTAAAACAGATGGTATGTGTGACTAAACATGCTCATTCATGAAGACAAACCAGCTAAAAGGTTTACCAAATGTTAAAAATCGTCTATGTTTATTTATGTAAATTATTTTTTGCATTTATATTAAGAAAACAGGAAAGGAAACCCTTAGATTCTGTAATGTAACTGAGGCGGTGGGATATCCTAGTGGTTAACGCGTTTGCTCATCACGCCAAAGACCTGGGTTCGATTCCCCACATGGGAAGCAATGTGTGAAGCCCATTTCTGGTGTCCGCTGCCACGATATTGGTGGAATATTGCTAAAAGCGGCGTAAGACCAAACTCACTCACGTTAATATAACTGAGATCGATTGGACACAATGACTGTTTGTGATTAAGCATTAGTCTCCAACAACCAACTAGCTGACTTGCAAAGGCTGATGAGTTCTGACAACTCAGTTTCAACACTGTATAAAAGGGATAGCCCCATGGTTTTAGTGATCCCTCGTAACGCTGAAGACCTGGGTTCAATTCCCCACATTGGTACAATGTGTGAAGCCCATTTCTGGTTTCTAAGCCGTGATATTGCAGGAATATTGCTAAAACCGGGTAAAACTAAGTTCACTCACTCACTGTACAAATGTTTAATGGTTGTTTGACTTGGCTGATGCTTCCTGCTCCAGATGGCAGTGAGTTGGTTATGCCCTTGATTGTGGACTTGAAGGAAATCCTGCAGACGGCCAAGCAAGTGTATGAGAAGGTAATTGTGGTTTCACTGTACAGTACCAAGTATTATATGGCTGAGAATTACAGGGTTTTGAAAATGTTTGATATTATGTTCAGCATTTCATCACCAATATTCAGGAAAGGTCACATGTCATCTTTATAGCCTGAATTCGTGTTCAGGACAACATCCCATAACTTTGCTATAATGGGTTTGTATCACAAGATGTCACTTATTATGATCCCAGATTGGTCTGCAACATGCCTGTGCTCATGGTTTTCACTTGTTTAATTTATTTCAACTTCATGAAGGCTGACTGTAAATAATCATGTCTTGACCAGATAATCCAGTGATTGACATTACGAGAATCGATTAATGATTGATGACATGCACCATCTAAGTTTGTGATCTTCTGAGGTATAACTGAAATACTGATCAGATTGGCACAATCTTTGGTGGCAGTAAAGGACATGTAGTTGACTGTTGATTTCCTCAAAGTAAAAATGTTACTTTCAGAAATCTTGTAACACTTATTTTTGGGCATGTAAGGCAGTTTAACTCTCAGTGTATCTAAGGGTGAAGTTTTTTATGTCATCTCTTCCTCTTTAAAGCTGTGGCTTGTCTTGTGGTTAAGGTAATAGCTTGTCTCCCCAAAGACCCAGGTTTCAGTGCGCAAGGGTGCAAAGCGTGAAACCCATTTCCGGTGTCCCCTGTTGTAATATTGCTGGAATATTACGAAAAGCAGCCTAAAACATAAATGCTCGTCTCTGATGTTCATGTGTCTTGTTTCAGTGTAAGAATATGGAAGGAAGCCCATCGATGTCCGTGCTTCATGATATCTACCAAGAGGCTGCGGACACATTCAGCGAACTCTGCGAGAAAAGCAAATCTAGCCAATCAAAAGACAAGGAGAAAAAAGAATTATCGGAAAGGGATAAAATGATTGTGAATAGTGTTGTTGACAAATTACAGCCTTCTGTCGATGAGCTGTCACACCGAATGAGTAGACAAATATTTCATGAAGTAATTGGGAGTGTGGTCGCTGAAGCGCAACAGCAGTGAAGATGGCCATGCACTAGCCAATGTGTACATGTGGATGTGTGCTTCTGTGATGACACAAGGCGTAGATGTCCGATCTCGTTGGGATACAGTGTGTAAATGTTTCATGGTGCTCTTAATACAAGTGCTTTTGAGAAAGGAAGGTTTTTGTTCTTTAATTAGAAATGTTGGCCATCTTTGACCGTCTTGCAAGAGATTATGTGTCTGCAAACTAAGTTACATGTCTTGTAAATGGAACTTTTTTAACCAAAGACATATTCCTAAAATTGTAAGATATTGGTGTCTTATGGTTGTGCATAGTTTAACTAGAAATGTTTGTTTAAGGAAAATGATTTATTACAACAGAGGAAATAGATATACCTGAGGGAAATTGTGAACATGCATTTACATCATGAAAATATTTCGCACTTCACCAGTTTGGTGGAGTAAAGTTTAGATTTATTTATTGTCAAAATGAGTGTTGCTTTTGAAGAATATTAATTATTACAATTTGACACTTACATATTTACATTAGCTCCCAAAATACGCATTACAGCAAATAATTATCCTCTGGTACAAGAAATACAATAGAAGTACCAGCCCAATACATATCCACCAGTATGCTCCAGGGAGTTACAGAGATATTGAAATCAGTTTACTTTCACGGCCATTGTTGGTATATTGGAGCTAAGCCATGCCTTCCTGTGCTGTGTCAAATTACATCGAACATACACACCACAGAGATTTTCGCCAGTGTCTTCATGAATGCTTGTGTGATTGTGAGCCTTGAATAGCGTTGTGCAATGAATATATGTTGTGTATGTCCAGTAGCAAAGTGCTTGCACTGCAGATTGGCAGCTCTGATATTTAGATACTGCTGAATTCATTTGTGGGAAAAAGAAATCTTGATGCATTTATGGGTTTATTAATTGAATTCATGTTGTGATTCATTTGGAACCAGCATCTTCAAGCATAGAATCATGGTGTCAAATGTGCTTAAATTGACAGTGATTATCAACCTGCCCTCTCAGGGTGTGATTAAAAAATCCACTCTTGGATTTCATGGATTGTGAATCAAAATGTGAAAATATGGACAAAGGGCATATAACTCTCACCTACACGATGGACCAACCCATCAGGATATGCCATTTCAGTGCTGTTTGTGATGTATCTGTGGAAACCACACATAATATATTGTGCAAGAACAAAACACATATCAAACAATGTGTCAAGTAAATTGACAGTGATATGAAGAATTTCATGCAAAAATGAAAATAATTTCTGTGTATACTAAGAACCTGTTGTATATATTTCTGCACCTGATTATTACTGCTTCACGCAACTGTACATACTCGTAAGGTTAATCATCATTTCACAAGGATTGTGTTCAACTTGGTTGTGGCAAAGCTATACACTAATTTTGGTTGTTACATCAGCACCAACTATTCACATATTTACAGCAGCTTATTTGTCCTGTATTGATGTTTTTTTTGTGGGAGCAGAAAATATTTGCTTTAATCATACAAATATTTTATAGTTATAATTCTTTTATATTTCTTTACACTCAAGATTTTGTTCATTGGGCTATGACAGGTGATACTTAAGACTGAAATTATGGCTACTATTAACAGGAATCTAATTAATTGATAGATGTAAAAGACTGTATTTTGAATAATAATTAATTGATATGACGCCTAGTTTTTGTCTTGTGCAAGAACTTGCCCTAAACATGGAAAATATTTATAGAGACACTTGCACCATCAGTAAAAGAATGTTTTATTTTATTTCAAAACCATTAAAAAATTGACCTGCCTTTTTGAAAGATAATTGAAAACTCAAGTTTCATTGTCTGCCAAAATAATCGAGCCTATGCACTATGCAATTGTGCACTATGTCCACCATGCAGAGTTGCATCCTTTACTAGGATCAGGATCTGCTGATCATGGGGTGGAATCCTAAATTCTTCCTTAGTATGATCCTCGTTCTAGCAGCCCCGTTTGCATATTTGTTAGTTTAAGAAAAGTGGAAACCCTATCCAGACCTGTTTCTTTGCTTCGACGTTAAATAGACCTGCCATAAGAAAACAGGACTGATGATAGTAAACCAATTAATTTGCTCTTACCTTCTAGTAGTAAATTACAACATTTTGACAAAATATAATAATAATAATAATAGTAGTCCATTTATATTACGCATTTATCCATGCACATTGCATGCCCAAAGCGCTGACATATTACCCCTGGTCAACGAGTACAGAACACTCCCTGTGGAGAATACAACCGGTCGCCTGTCAGGCGCTCAAGGTTCATATTCTGACTAGCATCCTATCATACCACTATGAAACAATTAGGTTACGGTCTGAGAACAGAAGTTTGCATGTTTGCATAATGTTAATTTCAAACATTCAAAGTATCATGGCAACTGTATGCACTGTAAATAAAATCATGTTCGTGATTATCGGTCAGTGCCGCTGTAGTCTGATGCTGTAATCACTGTCAGGCTGGAGTTCTGGCAGCTTCCACTGATGACAAACATTCCACTTAAACCATGATCGTATCTGTTCATATTCTTTCCAAAGGGATGGATCTTTAAGACAGTTATCATAATACAGTTCTATTATCTTGAGGTTAAACTTTAATGCTATAAGACACATGTAAAGTTTTGTTATCTAAGATTTTTAGAATTACAATCGTGATTGTATTATGCAATTCTTTAAATCTTTGGAAGTAAGATTTACATACACTGAAAGGATGGCTTGCAGATTTTAGACTTGCAAATAATTCATGTTATTGTAATGTTGATTAGAGCAGATTACAGACAGTTGGTTAAAGCCATTGTGATGCTTGAATGGAATTGAAGGTAAAGAAATCACACTTGGATACCAGATAGAATACTGCCTTGCTTTGTTAAATCCACATAATAAGGGGAAAAACGAATGGAAAAAAAGTGTATTTGATATTTCTGATGTCCAAATAACCAGCTTCAAGAACATATCAAAATGAAACCAAATGAATTATTAAATGGTTATCTTTGTTGCCAGTTTTCACTGCATCATCTGCGAGGAATGTAAAGCCTCAGGAAGTTCGTTTGCATTTTTACCTGTCAGAGGTAATCCACGTCAGATTGATTTCATGTGCATTTATAGCATTATCAACATTTGATCATCGTAATCAGCTTAGGTGTTTAATTCAAAGCTTTTTGTTTGCATTTGTACCCATATGACTCTACCAAAACCCAAGTTTTCATTTTACATAATTAATTTCAATACCATAGATTTCCTTTGACGAAACATTTATGTGCAATATGTAACAGTTACATAAGACACATGACAGAAATACTGCCAATAGTTCAATAGGTTAGAAGACATAGCTGAAAATATGAAAAGTAGAATATGCTATTGCCACACAACTGCTTCTGTCTCTGTTAAAGAAACAATATGTGAGCTGAAAATATGTCATGTCAAACTATCTATCTTTCAAGCCCCTTGAAGTGGGTATGAAATGTAACAACCATGTTGGCCATGTCTAGTGACAGAATTGTATCTTTAGCCAACCTTAACATATTCTTTATGGGTTTATGCCACCCTCAGTCCATCCCCAACATGAAGCATTACATATGCTAAGTCAGTACATATTCTGCATTGTGTGAACGTTCCTGATCTACATTGAGCAATGAAAGGGAGAGTTCATTGTTGAATGTGACCAACTGTGACTCTCTTGTTGGTAAATGAGATAATAGTGACATGTGGACATTTATTAATGTGAACATTTGCTACATGTGATGCCAGTTCATGAATATGTGATGTCATTGTCGACAGATACCATTTGTTGTGTCCCACAGAATCAGGAATTGATCATGTGACTTTGTAATGTGGGACATGTAAGTCCACTGACCACAAGTGTTGGGAGATTAACACACCACCTCTGTTATGGTATATGCTGAATGTGCTGCCTCTGCTGGTTGTATATGCAGTATATGCTGTTGCTAGGTGGAATATATTGTGTATTCACTACCTCTGTTGTTGGTATATGCTGTATATACCACCAATGGTGGTCTCTACTGTTAGTGGTATATTATAGTGTACACTACCTCTGTTGTTGGTATATGCTGTATATACCACCAATGGTGGTCTCTACTGTTAGTGGTATATTATAGTGTACACTACCTCTGTTGTTGGTATATGCTGTATATACCACCAATAGTGGTCTCTACAGTTGTGGTATATGCTGTGTGCACCACCTGTGTCAGTGGTATATCACAGTGTATACCACTTCTTTTTGTGGTATATGCTTTATACAAGCAGGATATACTGCCTGTATTGGTGTTATACACTTCTGTGCTTCCATATTGGAGATAGGGAGATGGGACCACTGTCAGATTCACTGGTCAGTCAGCCATGATTATTACCAATACTGCATCTGTGTCCATCAAAATGTTACAGAATCTCATACATTGCCTTTATTCACTGATGCTTCTCAGTAATAACTTTGAAATGAATACTGGATATCAAGAAGGAAGTACACATATTATGATTTAATTTATTAGTAAACAGTTCTTTTCTTTTGACAACAATCCAAATTTGAATTTCAGTATAGACATTTTGAATAAAACATCATAATGTAAAATCAATTTGAAATGATACATATAATGATTTTGCATCTTGTTTTGAGGTAATATTGAAATTGACAATGCTCCATAAAACACAACAGCGATCATACTACCATGTTAATGTATAAAGTAATTCTGATTGTCCTAGCACAAAGACTGCTTTGTACAACAGGACTCTTGAGTGGTTTGAATTACTACTAAACCCTGATCTGCACAGTCAAATGCGGGGCGGTGGGGTAGCCTGATGGTTAAAGCGTTCGCTCGCCGAAGACCCGGGTTCGATTCCCCACATGGGTACAATGTGTGAAGCTCATTTCTGGTGTCCCCCGTCGTGATATTGCTGGATTATTGCTAAAAGCGGCATAAAACCAAACTCACTCACTCACTCACAGTCAAATGCTCTGACATATTTTGTAGAGGAGTGAACCTATGCATCTGACTGGGTGCTGTCTCCCTGTCTCCATCATCCAGTCACTCAGGTGACTTCCAGGCCAAAACTTTCATATACCAGACTGTTGTATCATGACTTATGTGCTTCAAATAAACATGTATAAAATCTCCGGCAGAAAATAAACCTGTGATATATAGCATGTGTTGTTTGTTATGCTTATAACAAAATGAGCGGAATTTCAAACCTGTGAATAAATATCTTCAGTTACAGAAATATTTATTTCATTTCCACACACAAAGCTCTCTGACTATCAAGAGTTCTGAAAACAAATTTATATATACGTTGTTGCAAATATTTAAAAAATATAATAACATGTACTCTTTATAATTTTCCACACACTTAAATTTAGAATTTTTGGTTAGGAAGATCCGGCACTGTTGTCTAAATCTACAATGACCCACATGGAGGCTGAACATTCTACCTTGATTGAACCAGATCTACTTTTTGGGGAATATGCAGAGGTGCATCCATTACAGGTGACAAGTGGTTGTTGCTTTGATCCCAGGTGCTGATCCTGTCTTTAGGCATCTCTCCATCTCATCCCAGACATGCGACCTGGATAATGAGCTGGGCATGGTAGTAAGAGCAACCTTATGTTGCCTCGTAAAGTCAGTTACAACACGTACGAGGGCTGGTCAAAAAGTTCTAAGCCTAACACAGACAACAAACGATTTGGTCAGATTTTAATATTATATTTTTCCACATAATCACCCTTGATGGCAATGAACTTCTCATATCGGTGTTTCAGTTGCTCAATTCCATGTCAGTAGAACTCTTCTGGAAGTCCTATCAAATACTCGTTTACAGCAGATTTGAGCTCGTCATTACCGGCATCGCGTTTTCCACGGAGGTGTTCCTTCAATTTTGGAAATAGGTGAAAGTCGCTTGGGGCCAGGTCAGGTGAACATGGAGGATGAGGAAGTTCTTCGAAGCCACATTGATGTACTGCAGACTTTGCCAATCGAGAGGTGTGAGACAAAGCATTGTTATGTAAAATCAGAACTCCAGCCCTCAACAAACCACGGCGTTTTTCTTTGATAGATGCTCTCAATCTGTGGAGTAGATCAGCGTAGTAGGCACCAGTGATAGTCTTTTGACTCTCCAGGTAGTCAACATGGATGATGCCCTTCGCATCCCAGAACACTGTGGCCACAACTTTCTTCACTGACCTTGAAGACTTGAACTTCTTGGGCGGAGGAGAAGTGGGGTGGTGCCACTCCATGGATTGACGTTTTGACTCCGGATAGGATCGTAATGATAAATCCATGTTTCATCCCCTGTTACTAATCTACTTTTAAAATTTTCAAAATTATGCTCCATCAATTCTAAATTTTCCTTTGAAATTACACTTCTCTTTTTCTTCAAATCAGCATTGAGAAACTTTGGGACCCATCGCGCAGATACTTTGTTCACGCCCAAATGATCATGGGTAATAGTTTGAATGGATCCATGGCTTAGACCCGTTTCTCGTTCAACTTCAGCAAAAGTCACACGTCTGTCTGCAAGAATACATTTCTCCACAGCTTCTACTGTTTCTTCATTAATGGCTGTAGAGGGCCGTCCACACCGTGGGTCATCATCCGGACTTGTCCTGCCAGACTTGAATAAAGCAGCCCATCTCTTAACTGTGGGGTATGAAGGACAATCATCCCCATACACCTTCAACATACGTGCATGCACTTCTGATGGCTGAATGCCTTCCAGTGTCAAAAACTTGATAACAGCACCGTGTTCCATCTCTCACGTTGAAGCAGATATGTATACCCCAGTAGGCTTCAAGGACCTGTTGCTTTCGAACTATAGTTGATCTATTTGAGTAAAATGACTGGAAATGCTGATGAAGAACACTGTCCAACAACACCCCTAAGATTAGTTGGTGTCACCAGTCTAGAAGTTATGTAGGCTTAGAACGTTTTGACCAGCCCTCGTACAACCATCATTCTGCAGCATTTGCACATCCGTCAGAACATGATCTCAAACAACATCATCCGGAAACGTCATAAAATGGCATAAACAATTATACCAATGTAAAATATACATACTATTGTTCCAATATTATCAGAGATATTATCTTAAATATTTATTAACTAAATATTAATAGAATTCCAATAATCAAAACATTTTCATTACCAACAGTATATCACCAAGCCAGTTTGTCATGTTGCAGTTTGATGTGTCAGGCTTATCACTATTGTGATGCAAGATGGACGCATCCATCAAACCCATCGCCTTGCATTGCCCAGACCGCATTTACAAGTCATAATTATGTAATAATACACCAACATTACCTGATGATGTACGACCGATTTACAAGACAATGGACAATTCACTGACTAAGTCAAAACATAGGAAGATGGTTACTTTTAAAGTCAAGTATCCTCACTTGCCAGTACTGCTGAAAGAAACGTTGTGATCATTTGTTGTCTTCTTATCATGCCCAAGCATGAGTGACCGCCTCTGTGGTGTAGTGGTTAGAGCGTCCGCCCAGAGAGCGGAAGGTCGCGGGTTCGATCCCCGACCGCGTCATACCAAAAGACGTTAAAATATGGTACTTGTTGGTCCCTGCCTCGCGCTCGGCATTAATGGGTACAACAAGGACTGGTCGGCTCGGAGTCAGTATAATGTGTCTGAGTGGGGTATTCATGCTTCACTGCAGCATGGTATCTCAGTGGGCTAGCACTATAAAACCAGCTTAAGTCTGGGCTAGTACAAGCAGCCGCACATACACATACACACGCATGCACATCGTCATATGAGCGAAATATTCTCAAGCACAACGTTAAACCCAATTTCACCTCACCTCACCTCACCTCACCCAAGCATGAGTAAAAATCCTTGTATACACTGTTGTGCTTCAAGGGAGTGTGATGCCACCTTTACCCCATCACTTCCACCCCCACTGACGATCCTGATAAATAGTAAACTGTGACAAATAATCCCATTTAAATTGAAAACTAGCCCCAGTGAGATGGATTCAGAACCTGAAGGTAAGGAAATCTAACAGTAAGACACACGACCTCACAGTTTTGCCACTGACTGACCTCAACTAAGTAATTGTTACTGTGAAAATGTCACATCGAGTAAATGCACCAGCCAAATGTGACTGTCTTCTTGACGTGATGTGACGACAGACCACAAGTATTTCTCTGGTGTAAAGTCTAAAAAAAATAATGATATTGTGTTTTATGAACATGCACATGCAAATAGTGAATTACAACCTTAAAGTCAACATGTCTTTATGAATAAGAATTGAAGGTTAAATTATTTAATTTCAGAATAAATGTATTTTTACACTTTGGAGTACCGTTGTTTTCCCCGTTAGTACATTACATTTATAACTAACCTCTTAAACAGATTTATGTGTGATAGAAGCAAGGCGTTTGACGATTGTTAGATTGTTAGAGAAGGGTGAAAGGATGGCCAACATTCACAATATGGCAGATAACATAACCTACACACACATTGCAGTAATTTTATGAAACCATATGCCTGGATCAAGTTCATTACTGACCAATTGACAAATGTTAGTTGTATAACTGTTTGAAAGAAGTATAGTATACCTTGCAGGTGCTATATTCCCATGGTTGACCATAACACACAGAACTAACTTACGTCATTTTATAACGTTATGTCACAACGTAATAACAACCATGTATAGTGTAATAAAGCACTCTGACGCTTTAACTTTATTCAGGCCGAAAGTGTGCTTTATTACACTATACATGGTGGTAGAGCGAACTGTATTTCTTTTCTAAGATGCCAAATTTAATACTTGCTAATGATAATTACGATTAATCTAAGGCAGAAAACAAACGACGGTGTCGGTGACCTAAATTAAGAATCCTCGCACAGGGCTAACTGACGCGCTGTTCTATTTACGTGTCCGCCCCCTACGTTAAGACGAAAGTTAAACAAATGATAAACAGTTTGATGACGGTTTACGTTCGGGTTCCAACACTGTTAGATCATGAAACAAGATTTATGACGTCATGACGTCACCTGCTGTGACGTCATTTGACAACAGAACAGATAGTGGCCCGTAGTTGAGGAATCAACGGGCCATTCACTCTCCTACCCAGAGCTCCATGCGGCAAGCCAGCATAGTATGTTATTAAGTCATCGCTGTGCCGGAGTGTGCGGGCCATTATCATTTGCAGCGCCCTGATAACTAGAGGGCGGTTTCATGATAATTCCGTTCATTTTAGCTATAACACTATAATTTATTCATCATTGTCAGATTTAGTCAGTGTGCACATAAGAAACGTGTTGAAGTCTGAAAGGGAACTACTTTTTCTGGCAATGGTGTAAGTTCAAGGAGTGATATGATTTATCTTTGACCTAGAAACACTTTGACTTGGTTTAAATAATGAATTTCTTTCACGAAACAGCAGCGTAAAACGAGTTGAATTAGAATGGGGATAACTGTAGTGTGTTTGACGAATTGGGGACGTATACCGGTGGTTATATAGCCGCAAATTTAACGTTATATCGGCTCCGCTTACGCGTCTCCGATATAACTAAATTTGCGGTTATATTACGCGTCGACGATATAACTAAATTTGCGGTTATATTACGCGTCGACGATATAACTAAATTTGCGGCTATATAACCACCAGTATACGTCCCCAATTCGTCAATCACACTACAGTTATCCCCTAAGCATCAAATAACTTTACCTTGTGGCGACGTGACGACGTAAAAGGGGTACACACAGAATAACGTTGTAACACATACGTATTGGGACAACGTGAATTTGTTAGCTGGGTCTGAGCAATGGTATACCAGTACGGGACTGTCACAGACGGATAAAGTAACTCGCCAGATTCAAGCAGTATATTATTAATACTGAAATAAACATGCATTTTCTTCCCGAAAGCAACGGTTCTTTTTGGTGTGTTTTTATATTTTTAAATGAGCAATGCTGGTGACGTATTTCTGCGACAGCAAATCACCGATCAGAAATGTAACATATGTTATATCAGAGACCATATAATAGATGGTCTCTGGTTATATTTGGGATTACACTTTCTTAGTAAAGAACATATTCTAGTACTTTTTGGGTTGAGTCCCATTTGGGATTCGAACCCACACCCTCAGAGTCAGGCACCTAATCGCCAGCACTCAAATGGCATTGTGTAATCACACCGATCAGAAGCCAATATAACTTTTAGGATAAAGCTCTCTGGAGATTATATTTGTACTCGCCGGTCATAAAAATATCAACCTGTTGTGCCCTAAACCTACAATGGTCTTAAGTGCACAGAAATATCAGCCATGAGCTGGTAATATCGTCTGTGTAATCAAAGTAACTTTACAGTTAAAGTATAACTGGACAAAGTCTCAGTGTTTCATAAATACGATCCACACTTTATATATCATCGAGGATCAAGTGTGTTATATGTCTGGTATCATCCCAATACTATTTAGGTATAGTGCTTCCCATTCATTACTGTGACAAATGTTTCAACATCTTTCATATTTACAGGTTTCGTTCAATATGAAACTTAGCAACTGACATCATGTGTTAAAGTCATAAGACTGAACTGCCACAGACAGTTCGACACGTTCTAGCACTAGCAATGGTGTCTGTAAATGTATAAATTTCCTATACAGTTGTCCAAGAGCGTTGGTTTCGGTGGTAATGCCGACATTTGGAACAAATAGGGCTCGCCTGTCATTCGTACCTTCAAGTATACGAGAAATGAACAAACTAGGGATTGTGTCTAAAATAAATTGTGCGGAAAAATGTTACTAGTCTAATGTAGCATATGCATGTATGTGTATGTCTCTATGTATAATTATATGAGTTTATATACTAGTTATATACTGATTTTGTTATTTCAAATGCATTTATATTATTTTTCACGACTGGAGAACTGAAACTGAGCAATAGAAATTTCCTTTGGACGAAAAAGACACTTTTTATCTTATCTTATCTTACCCACTTGGTGCAAGGTCACTGTCCGAGGCACACGTACACACGTTAGATCCGTTGACGTAGAGGGTGTTAACTGACACTCACAGATGGTATTGAGAATCGTGGGTCCTGCCCGGAGGGGGGTTATGATAAGAGTGGACACACCGAATGTTTGCTGAATGCGTCAAACAGACATAGGAGACAGAATTTCGGTGCGCTTTGGACATATATTGAAACAATGAGATCGTTTGAATATATAAATTTTAAAGAAACTTATTGAAACTATGACATAGTTGTCCATAAGCGCTAAAACCCATTTAGACTATGGTGGTGGGGTACCCTAGTAGTTACAGCGTTCGCCCGTCACGCTAAACACCGGGTTCGATTCCCTACGTACATGGGTACAATGTGTGAAGCCCATTTCTGGTGTCCCCCTCCATGATAATTCTGGAGTATTTGCTAAAAGAGGCGTAAAACCATACTCACTCACTCACTTACTATGAAAGTATTTCAAATAGACCACGGCAACCTGCGTTGCGAAATGCGACCGACAGTGCCGCGAGACCGAGGGTTCTGTTGGTGTGTTGGGTCAGGTGTTCATGACACCACAGGAAGGTGAACGTGTCAGACTAACGCCCAATCTCTGAAAATAAACGATTTTGAAGGAACAAAATATATCCATTTCATTAAACAGGTTCCTGGGTAAGCTTTGAGTTTTGGGGAACCTGAAGAAAATCTAGGCTTGCTTCATTTAGAGCTTACACCCATTGTAGAAAGGACTGGGCGGAATTGAAATACGTGTACATGTAATGTGGTTCGGGAACTGTGAAACCGCCTCCGTGGTGTACTGGTCAGAGCGTCCGCCCGGAGAGCGGAAGGTCGTGGGTTCGATCCCCGACCGCGTCATACCAAAAGACGTTAAAATATGGTACTTGTTGGTCTCTGCCTGGCGCTCGGCATTAATGGGTACAACAAGGACTGGTCGACTCGGAGTCAGTATAATGTGTAAGAGTGGGGTATTCATGCTTCACTGCGGCATGGTATCTCAGTGGGCTAGCACTATAAAACCAGCTGACGTCTGGGCTAGTACAAGCAGCCGCACATACACATACACACGCATGCACGTCGTCATATGAGCGAAATATTCTCAAGCACGACGTTCAACCCAATTTCACCTCACCTCTATATTAGTGTTGGAATAGTTTGGTTCCGGAGTTACAAAACAATTCTAAATATAATGTCCTCATCCACAGCAAATTCTTTCCAAGTGACAACAGTTACTGGTGATAAGGACTGATAAGATATGCCCCCTCTTCTTTGAGCGTATGTAACCTCTCTCTCGTCTTTTGACGTCAGGCTGATTCCACTCCACAGTCAAAAGAACAAGAGAAAGTGCACAGTGTGATGTATAAAACTTCTATATTAGTGTGGTTAGAGCGTCCGCCCGGAGAGCGGAAGGTCGTGGGTTCAATCCCCGACCGCGTCATACCAAAAGACGTTAAAATATGGTACTTGTTGATCCCTGCCTGGCGCTCGGCATTAATGGGTACAACAAGGACTGGTCGGCTTGGAGTCAGTATAATGTGTCTGAGTGGGGTATTCATGCTTCACTGCGGCGTGGTATCTCAGTGGGCTAGCACTATAAAACCAGCTGACGTCTGGGCTAGTACAAGCAGCCGCACACACACATACACACGCATGCACGTCGTCATATGAGCGAAATATTCTCAAGCACGACGTTCAACCCAATTTCACCTCACCTCTATATTAGTGTTGGAATAGTTTGGTTCCGGAGTTACAAAACAGTTCTAAATATAATGTCCTCATCCACAGCAAATTCTTTCCAAGTGACAACAGTTACTAGTGATAAGGACTGATAAGATATGCCCCTCTTCTTTGAGCGTATAATATCTCTTCTCGTCTTTGACGTCAGGCTGATTCCACATAAGACAGTCAAAAGAACACACCTTCTAGAAAGTGCACAGTGTGATGTATAAAACTTCTATATTAGTGTGGTTAGAGCGTCGAGAAATGAACTATAGGGATTGTGTCTAAAATAAATTGTGCGGAAAATGTTACTAGTCTAATGTAGCATATGCATGTATGTGTATGTCTCAATGTATAATTATATGAGGTTTATATACTAGTTATATACTGATTTTATTATTTAAAATGCATTTATATTATTTTTCCGCCCGGAGAGCGGAAGGTCGTGGGTTCATCTTATCTTATCGACCGCGTCATACCAAACGTAGACGTTAAAAAGGGGTGTATGGTACTTGTTATTGATCCCCCTGCCTGGCGCTCGGCATTAATGGGTACAACAAGGACAGAATTTCGGTCGGCTTGGAGTCAGTATAATGTGTCAATGAGAGTTTGGTATTCATGCTTCACTGCGGCGTGGTATCTCAGTGGTCTAGCACTATAAAACCATTTAGCTATGGTGGTGGGGTAGCCTCAGCGTTCGCCCGTCACGCTAAACACCGGAGTTCGATTCCCTACGTACAAGCAGCCGCACTGGAGTATTGCACGTAAAACCATACTCACTCACTCACTTACTATGCATTTCAAATAGACACGTGCGTCATAAATGAGCGACCGAGGATATTCTATTCATGAGGAAGGTACGAGACGTAAAACCAAAATATATCCATTTCATTAAACACCTCACCTTTGGGAACCTCGAAGAAAATCTAGACTTCTGCTTCATTAGAGCAGGAAAGGACTGTGAATTGAAATACGTGTGGTGCCCTTACATAACTTTGTCGTAACGGTCTTCTGCACAAAGCAAAATTTTCTGGAAACATCCCTCGTACGTATTTTGCAGTTGGCATTGATAAACTGGGGACAATTCCGAAAATGGCATTGGTCTGTTTTGCAAATTTTACAGACTCTTGAACTTTGAAGTCAGACGTTTGAAGTTGTCATAAACTTCCAAGGGTATGTCCCATTTCTGCTTTCTCCATTATCCAGAACGGCCAGGTGACCAGCCCATGACTGACACGTTACACACCCGATGATGATGATTTGGAAATTTAACGTGCTTATGGCCAGTGTTTGATCCAAAGAGGGGTGATTTTGCCGAAAGATATAGCAACCTGGAGGTGGCGTTAGGGTTACATAATCAAATTTGTATGAATTTTGAATTTTGCCAGAAGGGGGGATGAACTACGGGTTGGTTTGGTTGGTATTTCTGCGTTTGTTTTGTTTTTGTATATTTTTTATGTTAGCTCTAGTTGGTTTTGTGTGATTTACACTTCCGTATACGGTGTGTGCCTTTAGAGGAAGGTGGTAAGTGTGAAATTGTCCATCGCCGTGCGGAAACCGTACGCGGCACAATGTGTCGCATTCTAGTACAAAGGCTCACGCTTCAGCATTGGCGGATCCAGAAGGGGGGTGCAGGGGTGCAGGGGTGCGCACCCCCACCCCCTTTTTTGTTCTGAAATTTTATTAAATGACCATTGAAACTCGGGTGAAAATGAAATGTGCACCCTCCCTTTTCTCAATAGCATGCACACCCCCTTTCTGAAAATGCTGTATCCGCCCCTGTTCAGTTGCTAATGCTTAATTACCTGGCACGCATCTCTCACCTCGCCAAAGTGCAATGTTGTCTTAACAAGACCTTTTTAGGAGGACTCTGGCTAAGTGAGAGTGAACAGATCAAATTGCTACGACACCCATTGGGCACCCCACACATACCGGAATGGTTTATTCTGGTTTAATGGTTTAATACCAGCGCAAACGATTACAATGGTCCCTATTTGTAGTTTAGCGTTTTTGGAGCTTCTGCCTCCTTCTTGTGCTTTGGTTACAAAGATGAGACGTGAAGCCATATACAAAAATAATACATTGTGGAAAGAATCCCATTTCCCGCCGAACTACATGTATTTCACTATTTTAATTTGGAGGGAGAAGTTTTGGCCAGAACATACCCAGAAGTTGGTGTCTTTAATTCCAAAGAACGTTTCTCAAAATTATTATATTTTATTTTCATAAGTCAACAATTTCAGGATCCGTTTAGCTCCAACTGACTTTTAAAAAACCCCACAAAAACCCAAACCACAACACATCCTTCTTTTTGTTTTTGTCGTCAAATAAAAGACGTTCATCTCCTCACGACAACCTACCACCAACCACTGATCGGATCATGTGTCGTTTCTATGTAAGTCACATGGGTAATGTGTTGTTTATTGATGCAGACGGGAAAGTTTATATTGAAATTTTAATAATATCGTATATTTATGAATAAACCAGTACACTGGCATGGATGTATAAATTAATTACTTCTAAAAGCATAATACAGATGAAGTAAAACTGGCATTTATCTATCATATACTTTAACGCATTTAGCATCTGCCCTTTCTGACATAATGTAAGTGGTTGCGCCTGTTCGTAACACTCTCAACATCACAATCCCCGACACCAGTTATTCCCCTTCGTATACAATCTGAGTCATATCGTTGTCGTCTTATTCAACAGTGTTGCATGGCCGACAGGTCACATGACTAAGTTTGGAGCCATTCTAACGGAACAACGCACGTCCTGTGATAGCATTTGTCGCTCTCTGTAAGTAACTGTGATTCTCTCACACCATACCCTTACTATCGATACGTCTTTATATCAGTCTTCGCGCTAGTTTCATGCCTGGGTGGTGACGGATGTGCTCAAGAGTAGACCGACAGCCAGACTCATTCAGAGCCCAGTCAACTGTTGCTACTCGTGCAGTGACTGGCTTAGGTCAGTATACAGGACATTTTTCCTGCGGATCCGTCTGTATTGGGCTACAGACTGTTTGTGATATCCATTCGCGTCTGATACAAGCATCTTCACGCTCAGCAACATAGTTGAAACATTGTAAACTGTAAGTGAGTATGTTATAAATTCGGGTAACACAAGTGGTTCGTGGTCCAGGGTGGAATAACAGTAAAATGGAGTGTATGCTGTGACTTATCCTGTGATATTATATTGTCCCAGAATATAATAATAATGTAATGACTAAATGAGTTGAATTATGGTATATAATGTCACTGTTTCACTGCAAAATGTCAAAGTTATTATAAAGAAGAGGATTCAGCATCTGACCATATTAAATCTGTTGGCACATTTTGTGTGACATTTAAAAGGGGGGCTTGTCTTTGTGGGAGTGTAAAGCAAACAGTCATATAAATTCCAGTAACCTTACATCTATTTGTGAAACGGAGAAGCAGTGGAAGTGTAAAGCAAACAGTCGTATATATTCCAGTAACCTTAACATCTATTTGTGAAACAGAGAAGCAGATACCCGGTTCTTGCTGGTTAGAACTGGAGTTACAAAGTTGGGTATGAATAATTCAAGATGTAAGGTCAGATTTCAAAGTTTTGGTCATTTGGATGTCTGTGTACAAGTAAACTAAGAGATATATCCAGTATGTAGCCTCTGTTGTCATGGTTATCCAATCTTGTGTGAAAGAAATATATGTGTATACAAGTAGGGAAATCCCAAATTGTTTTCTAAAAATAGATTATTGGACGCAGACATAAATCTTGTTTGTTGATCAACCTGCTTGATGGCAAAACAGTTTTTCTTACGTTCAGTTTCTTAAGTTCTGAAACGTGAATGTCTTGCAGCACAGAATCTACCTTTGACTTTAAAACTACGCAGAGTTGAAGAGTATTAAATGTCCTATCTGATGGTGTTAATTTAAAATATTAAATCGGTTTGACAAAAAGACACAGCTGAATGCTGTCCTAGATTTTGCTATGTGTTAAAGCACAGTAAAACTGTCCACTTCTTGCTCCGATAGAAGTACAGTGCAACAATCTTATATATTTAAGAGCTTTCAGAAAGTTGTGATCGCACAAAATACTACTTAATGTCTGAACAACAAATATATATCAACATGACTAGTAGGCTTATGTGTAAAATGTTACATTCAATACAAAAATATAGCATGTAATAGATGATACAAATTTATTTCCCTCTCTGACGTCAAAATACGAGAGAGAGGTTACATATGCTCAAAGAAGAGGGGGCATATCTTATCAGTCCTTATCACCAGTAACTGTTGTCACTTGGAAAGAATTTGCTGTGGATGAGGACATTATATTTAGAATTGTTTTGTAACTCCGGAACCAAACTATTCCAACACTAATATAGAGGTGAGGTGAAATTGGGTTGAACGTTGTGCTTGAGAATATTTCGCTCATATGACGACGTGCATGCGTGTGTGTATGTGTGTGTGCGGCTGCTTGTACTAGCCCAGACGTCAGCTGGTTTTATAGTGCTAGCCCACTGAGATACCACGCCGCAGTGAAGAATGAATACCCCACTCAGACACATTATACTGACTCCAAGCCGACCAGTCCTTGTTGTACCCATTAATGCCGAGCGCCAGGCAGGGATCAACAAGTACCATATTTTAACGTCTTTTGGTATGACGCGGTCGGGGATTGAACCCACGACCTTCCGCTCTCCGGGCGGACGCTCTAACCACACTAATATAGAAGTTTTATACATCACACTGTGCACTTTCTCTTGTTCTTTTGACTGTGGAGTGGAATCAGCCTAGGATAAAGTTTCCAGTCTCTCTGAACAACTTGCTCAAACGCACCCCTGCTCCAATTTCTGAAATTGGACAATCATTGCAACTACATGCAGAAGATGTGACCTACTCAGGTTATTGTGTGAGTCTCTTTCTTGACGCACCAGGGTGCAGATGTTCTGTATTGAGATAACCTGCCCTGAAGCCTTGCCCTAGTATCATCAATCTCTCTACAGTCAGTGATCCCGCCATGTTATCTTTGGCCAACTTGTTCATCTACTACACGTCTCCAGTTCATTGAGGCCTTATGATTCTGGTTTCTTCTTTCTTGAGATCACTGTTTGTAGGACTATAAACCATGTCATCCGCCATTGGATTACAAGGCTAACATTCAAGCTATGTCCATCACCAAAACAATGCTACATTCCCTTGATCCTCCTACAACACATCAACAATTGTGCAGACATTGCTTTGAGTTCTTTGAACACCTTCCCTGATGTAACCTCAGTGCCATTTCCACAGAGTAGGTACTTGATTCACCCCTCAGGTGATATCTTTTTGTAGGTAAGTATTGAGAGCATTGACATTTTGAATACCATGCTTCCTTGGATGATGCAGATAAACTGCCTGAGAAGTCTATTTGGAGTTGGTGATATTTTGGCCATGCTTCCAACACACTTCAATTCATCAGGGCCCTCTTTGACACACAACTGGGAAAGATGTTCATCCCTCCGACAGGGTAAAGATATAGCATCTAGTGCCACTGCGAGATCCCTTTGTCAATGGCAAGAACTTCTGGGTCTTGTAATGTGGACCCATTCTCACACTCAGAAGACAGCTACAGCCAATTCAAGTCTTCTTACATCCGTTACTTCATATTGCTGATCTTCAATCTCCAATTTGTGTCCCAACATCCCTCCTTCGGTACCTTCACACTCACAGTGTTTTCCATGATGCATAAAACCTGCATATTTGACGCACAAATTATCTCCAATATACAGTGAATTTAGAAGCTTTCGTCATTGTTCATAATCTGAACTTAGGTTTCTGTGCGCTGACTGCAATGACTGGGTTTTTTTTACTGCTCAGTGCTGATTAAATACCTGACCTGCCTTACCTTTTTTTGCCGTTATTAAACAATTACAGTTGATGTCTTGATGAAAGTTCCAAACTGAAGTTGACTCCAAAAAACCTGTCCATGACTCCCTCTCATGACACAAGAGAGTCATGATGACTCCTAAATATTTATGCCTAGGGCAAACACTGCCTTCAATGGTGGCTGGTAGAGTTGAATCAGAATGTTTGTGATGGAGACTCTTTGACTCCGTTCGTACGAACACATCATCTGATCATTGATGTGTCAATACTTGAAGAGGAGCGCATCTTTTCAATAAGTGAGTGGCAGGGCAGTTGCCATTCGTCAATCGATATGGTAAGAAATCACTTAACTCGGGACTGCCTATCCCTTAGTAGTTTGTGTAAAGTAGGGCTAAGGGGTTTATGAAGCCACTAGTGTTGGGAATTGGTTAAAATCTCATAATTGATGATTGGTTCATTACTACCGATCAATCATCGAAAATAATTGGTTAGCATCATTTATAAAATTTGTTAATGCACATAAAAAGAAGGTAAAAAAACAAGTAGTTCTTTTGGGGTTTTTTGGCAAAATTTCACATCTTTAAAGGATGACTAGTATGTTAGGAACATAAATTTCTTGGAATCTTTAAGATAAGTTCAATCGTGACTTGAAACGAGCTTGTAGTGCTTACGAAATGTAACAGACAAAACCAACCATGTGAAAAATATTGTTAATGAAAAGAAGTGTTCTAGAATTGTTTGTGTTCGATTATGAGAAACTGTGATCGATTGCTTGGTCGTTTAGTCACTACGACCAATCTTCGATTATTTCAATTAATCGGACTACCACTAGAAGCCACCCATGACAAGACTGTCTAATTAGGAAATGTCCAACGCTTAGAGGATGAGAGGTCACAAGGTTGCCATCTCTCTATAGATGTCGAGAGTAATCTTTGGCCCACCATCCAACTGTAAGATGAGTGCATAAAGAAAGATGGATAAGTACTATAAATATACAATTTATAGTTAAAATTCTAAAATTTATACTTTTAAATATTACAACAAATTGTAAGAATTGATGATTTAGATGTCTCTAACATAAATTAGTCCTTATATTCCCACATTTACTTGATTGCATAGGTGTAATTTCACCAATGTTACCCTATTGTTAATCAAGTTCTCGCAACTTCTTGCCTTATCATCAAATTTAATGCATTACTAAGCTTGACCTCAAAGTGATAGTTAAAGAGGAGTGATGTCCCTCTGGCTTGCAGAGGATTAATGCAATGCTCAGCAATATTCCAGGGATTGCGACTAACAGGATCAGGTGGTCAGGCTCGCTGACTTGGTTGACACATGTCATTGGTTCCCAATTGCGCAGATCGATGCTCATGCTGTTGATCACTGGATTGTCTGGTCCAGACTTGATTATTTACAGACCGCCGCCATATGGTTGGAATATTACTGAGTGCGGCATAAAACTAAACTCAGTCACTCACTCACCCAGGGATTGACAAAATGAGCATCTTAACAATAACGATATATCAACCAAGTCAGCTTAAATACCCTGATGAAAGCAATGCTAGGAACAATTCTAACCACTCTAACCTGGATCGTTACGCTGATAAGTTTTGTGAACCTGTAATTGCGTGAACAAATATGCATTGTGCTGAGTGCACAATGTGACTAGCGAGGCAGATAAAATATGTTTTGTACCCTGACTGATCCATTGTTTCGTTGGTGATTCAAATGTTTCTATCACAGCTGAAAACATCTGTCGAGAAATCCATATGTGGCATTTAGACAAAAACAGTTTCTGCATTTTGCTGTTGCTATTTTGACCTGCATGATTACATCGTGATTACATCAGTAAAATGTCTACTATGTTGAGTATTATTTAAAGTTTTATCTATGTTATCACAATTTTGGACTGGTGACCAGTTGTCATATTTGTGTGTCATTTCTGAA